TAGCCATGTCCCTCTTTCCTCACAAGGAAAGCAAGAAAGCCCAACTGTAACACTTACCCACTCTACACAAACTATATGTTCCTTACTTCACTTCCTTAATCTTTGCGTTGAGAGAGAGGTTCCATCTTACCTTCCATCTGTCATGTTAATAATATACAAGCAGAAGATATGTTTGATCTGTTTCATTCTCTCATGCCCATTCCTGGGAGGCCATTTTCCTTCTGCTTTGTAAAAAGCCAGCTTTTCTTCTCATCTGTTTTTCCGTGCAAGAGAGATTGCAGCTTTTTACACAAGATCAAGGCTGACCAAATCATCAGTATGAAGAAGAGGCGTGTATGAGATTGCTGGTGTTTTTTCATACAAAGGAATTCTGAGTTTCGGGAAGTACCCAGGGCCCAATAACACTTTCTACCTTTTCCAGAACTGAATGTATATGATGTTAACAACTAACACCTATTAGTTAACAACTATTTCAGCTTCGATTACCAGTCATAAAAATGGCTTGCATATGCAGAGTCAGAAAGACTTTGCTTTCACAGAAGGGCCGTCACCACTCATGGTTGGTAATGGTTTCAAGTGGACCAAGTGTATAATTTGTAGTGTTATCTGCTAAAAAGAGAGCAGACATGCGAGGTTGCACAGGGACAAGATTTCACTCCAATCAGCATGTGAGTTGGATACATCCTAAAAGCCCAAGTTGATGTAGGGTGGTCCATCACTCATATCAGCATTCCAGAAAGTCATTGAGATTGTGTTTTTTCTTTGAATGGGCCTCAGACAATGAGTGGTTCAAGGCAAACTGAAGTTGTGAGGGTCCATACCAGATAAATTATATTGAGTCACAGAGAAGCTGGTTTCCAAGGTGTCCTCAAATGACTATTGCAAAGTAATCAGAACTCACTGACAAGAATAGTTTGATTTGATCCTGAAAATAAGAGCTTGGGAACACAGAGTGGTTTATGGTTCCCAAAAAGTTGGCCCAATTTTATCCACCAACTTCGTACCAAATCTCACCTGAGATACCAGATACATCTACATTTCTGGCACTAGCAACTCTGGAGCTTAAAGGGAAATCTGCAACTTAGAGAGAACTTTATCAAAATTGGTTAAGAGCATGAGTTTTGATATGGATGTGAATACCATCTTTGCTGTTTCTAAGTTACGTGATTTCAGTCCGTTTTTTAACTTGCCTGTAAGTCACATACTAAAATATGGGGCAAAATGTATACCCAGTAAATGGTAACTCTTATAATACTGTTTTAAACAGATCTGTTTTAAATACCCCTAGTCCAGATCTAGCTGCAATACTAAGAAAATCAGAACAGTGAGACTTTAAGATGTAGTTACTGACTATCTAATTTTGCAGGGAAATACATCTTATCAGGACTTCTTTGTTCCATTTAATAAAAAGGAATTATAAACTTACTCTAAAGGAAATTCTGTTTTATTGATCATCATCATCTTTCCTTCTTCATCATTGCCCTCTACTGAATATTCAGTAAGCACTAATATACATTATCTTCTTTAATCCTTACAACAAACTGATTAAACAGGTATTTTTACTCACCTTACATATGAGAAATTTGATGCTTAGAGAACTTAGCTCACTTGCTTAGGAAAGCACAGTTATTAAGAAAGAGTATAAAGATCTTACAACCAAGCATTTCTCAATCCAAAGACCAAAAATCTTAACTATATAATATACAGTCATCTCACTGTATCCGTGAGGGATTGGCTCCAGGAACACCACCTGCCATACCAGAATCCACAGATGCTCCAGTCTCTTATACAAGATGGTGTCGTGTTGGCATAGAAACTACACACATCCTCCTGTGTACTTTAAATCATCTCTATATTACTTATAATACCTAATACAATGCAAATGCTATGTAAATTGTTGCACAGCAAATTCAAGTTTTGCATTTTAGAACTTTCTGGAAATCTTTTTTTTGAAAATGTGGAATATGGAAACTACAGATCCAGAGGGCTGATAGTACTTTATCCAGTGGTGTGTTACATATCATGAGAGAGCAGAAAGGAACTTACTGGAGATAACGTTAGGTCTTTCTTGCTTAAAGGATGATGGCTCTACCTTTTTCTTTTCATTCTCAAGGATTTTACTACCCATAATCCATGATTTCTTTTGTGTGGAATACATGTATCGAGAGAAAAAATATAAGGGCAGTGTTTCTTTGCCCAGCACAGTTGTATTTTCTTTCAGTAACTGGACAGTGCTAACCAGCCATCTATTCAGAAGTAACCTTTTTCTGAAACACTGGCATCTTGCACTAGCCTAAAGCTATGGCAGCCCTGAAAGCAAGCACCAAATCTGAGAAGTCACTTGTTTTTATTTGTGTTTTCTCTTCAACTGGCTAACTCTTAGTGGGAGACAGAGGGGCTGTTCAGTTTCATTATGTCAAGACTGGAGGCACAGACCTGCTCATGGCTTACTCTTGAGTTCTAAATTATATTCGGTTGAGGAAGGGTAAGGTGGTGCGGGGGGGAAATGCCCACTCCTCTTTTTGTCAGTTTTCACTGCAACATCAAGCATGAGGCAAACAGTTCTAAGTAGGTTCTTTGTCATTTGCATACCAGTAATTCTTCTTTATGGGTAACAGAAATGCTGAGCTTTCAGAATCAGGGAGCTTTTCTTTCCGTCACAGGCAAGCGATCTATACTACCTTATTGATTTTCCCAACCAATTAATCCATTGATTTTTCTCACCTATAAAAACAACAGCAACACAAAAGCATGCATATCTAATGGGAAAATATGACAAAAATTAAAAGTCAGCTATAAATAAAAATAATTAATAAAAAATGACACCTACTGATATTTGCATTTTCTCAGTAGCTTTTTTTCCCCATGTTTTTCCAACTGAATAGTTCACAGTATGTTGCTGAAGCGTAACAAAATTCATGAAAATGATATAAGAAACTCCTTGGTAAGAAATAAAACTACAGAACAAATAAGAGTTTTTATTTGTGTACATTTGGCTTCTAGTTCAAAAGTTTATGGTTTTCTTTTCACATTCAGTTGACGCACAACTATATCTCAGGCTGAAAGATCTAAACTACCGCCACTCATGAATTGTGAAGGCCAAGACGTTTGGAAATTTTACTGGATTTATGACCTAGAAAAACAAAAATACAGCAGGACAAAGAAATGAATGGAACTATAAAGCAGGTTTGAATCTATCTTGTAGAAAAAAGGAATGAACTAAAAAGTTAGAAGATTCTAGAAGTTAAAAATTCTGGGCAATGGTGACTGACCAAGCGGTTTAGGTGAATGAATGTGTCGATTCATTTCTGACTAACTAGTTGTTCTGTTTATCTTGCAGCTCTGCTTAAGGAAGATAGTGCAGCAAGAGTTCCAAAAAGGCTTTGTTCAAATGTCAGTGTGTCACACATGTAAACTATAAGGCAAAGATCACATCATCAGAGAAAAATATGTTTCTTACTCTAGTAAGCTCTTCCATCTTAATGATCCTTAACTACTAAATACCACACTAAGCAATCTAAAGTTTTTAATCTGAAATAACCCTGGAGGCATATATGTCAACTTCATAGTGATTATCCGTCTTGTGTAGGAAACCCTACATTACATGAAACATCAGAAACTAAACAATTTTAATGGTCCAATCACAGAGATCTTCTACTAGTTATTATCTCAAAATTATAAGATATTAGAAGATAACTGGCTTTCATAGAATGAAATGCCCATTGATTAGAAAGGCCAGTGTAGCTAAGAAACAGTTCATGCCCGATCTAAAGCAGTACCCACGGAATTGACAGGAAAATCTAACAGTAGAAATGCCATACAGCTAGCATCTTTGGATATCGGTGATTAATTGGACCTGTGGACAGTAATGTGGACTAGTGGAGGAGTGCAGAATGACTCTCATTATTCCCGTTTAGGTGACCAGGTAGACGGCAATCATATTTTCTGAATTAGGTCACACAAATAGAAACAGATTGGGAATGGAACATAATAATTCATTTTGGAATGTGCTGTGTTTGAGCCACCTGTGTGACATATGGGCGTGAAGATGTGCAGTGGGGAGCTGTCTGTATCAGTCAGGAGCCCAGAAGGAAAGTGTGAATTTAAGACATGCATTTGAATTCATCAGCGTATGAGCAGTATTTAAGTCACAGAATTGGGTAAAATTGAACAGGGAGAGCACGTAGACCGAGAAGAAAACAGGCTAAAGCCACAACACCACCACCAACAAACACCTGGAGAATACCAACATTTAAAAACAGAGCATTTAAGGAGACTAAGAAGAAAAGTGAGCCAAAGAAGAAAACAGGAAAGTAACAATGAGGAGGGGACAGGAAGATGACCAGACAGAGTACAGGAGAGGGAATAAACCTGTGAATTAATTTAGTGATTGTCCTAATCTTCTAGGACTGCTATAACAAAACACCACAGACTGGGTGGCTTAAACAACAGTTATTAATTTTCTCATTCTTGGGCTGGATGCCCAAGATCTGGGCGTTGACAGGTTTGGTTTTGCAGGCTCCCTCCCTGGCTTGCAGACGGCCACCTTCTCATCATTGCTCACATGGACATTTCCCTGTGCACACACATCCTGATGTCTCTTCCTCTTCTTATAGAGACACACGTTATATCGGACTAAGGCCCCATTCTTATGGCTTCATTTAATCTTAATTACCTCTTACTTACCTGTAAAGGTCCTATCTCCAAATACATTCATGTTGGAGGTTAGGGCTTCAATATATGAATTGGGGGGACACAATTTAGTCGATAATAGTGGTCAAACCTTTATTGAATGCTATCGACAATGCTTGTGTCCCACCAAAATGCATGAGTTGAAACCTAATCCTGAATTTGATGGTACTTGGAAGTGGGGCTCTGGGGAGGTGATTAGGTCCTGAGGCAGAGTCCTTATGAATGGAATCAGTGCCTTTATAAAAGAGGCCCCAGATTGCCCTCTCACGCCTTCCACCATATGAGGTTATAAGGAAAGCATCTTGAACCAGGAAGCTGGCTCTCACCAGACATTGAATCAGTTGGCACCTTGATCTTGGACTTCCCAGCCTCCAGAACTGTGAGAAATAAAATTATACTGTTTGTAAGCCACTTACACTATGGTACTTTGTTATAACAGCCCAAATATACTAAGATACTGACTATTCATGGTTTATAAAATAAAATCCAAATTCCTTAGCATGGCATAATGATCGGTTACTAAATTGTCCCAATCAACTTTCCAGTCCTGTCCTCCATACTTTCCCTACTTTATATCCCATAGTTCAATTCCACTGGAGAAATTTGCTTTCTCCTGATTATACCTTATGTCTTTATGCCTCTGTACTCTTTAGGGTCATCTTCATTCTCTACATGAACAAATCCTAGTTCTCTTTGAAGATCTCCCTCAACGTTACTTCTTTTCAAAATACTTTCCTTATCCTTCATAGCAAGAAATGCTTCTCACATCTCTGCTCCTTCTTCATTTTGTTCCCATGTCACAAAGTATTTATTAAATTCTACTATAATCACTTAGCTCAGCTAAGGCAAACTATTGATATATCTTACTCATCTTTTATAAATGTGTCCTCTAGTGTTCTTCCAGATATATACCAGGTGTTTATTAAACATAAGACAGTAAATAAATGAATGAATAAAAAAGAATAGTTAAATTAATGAACTGCAACACTTTCCATAATGAGTTATTTCTCTAATTCTGATGTTATTAAATAGAAAAAATACTCTGTGCAAATTTTCATACAATATGAGATTAGTGTTCAACTGCTTTAGATAGTCACAATTTATTAAATATCCACAGTGCAAAAACTAAATAAATAAGTAAAACAAAAATACACTGTGGTAGGGGTGGTAGAAAAATTCAGAGATTATCACACAAAACAACACATGATCTGAACCTTAGCAGATTTATACATTAAAGGAGAAGTAAGTCAAATTGCATGCTGGGAAAAAAGTACAGGACCAAATTGTATTATTTTAGAGCCTACTTGTTACATGTTTAGTTTACCCTGTTCTGTTACCCTGAAAGGGAGCATTGAACCTGATGAATTTTAGGGAGAGGATCTGCCTGGGTTAATGATCTATCATAGTTCTCCTCAAGTTCTTCAGTGTAGGAGCCCAAAAACAGGACAGCATCACCCAGTTTAGCAGAAACCAACCTTTATGTCCTTACTTTAAAGCAGTTATGAAGCTTCAGCTACCTGTACCTACTCTATTAATTAGGGATGGGATTACTTATCCTTCCAGGAATGGACACCACCCATGTTCCACACTGCTGAGGCAACACCTAAAAGGTGTAACAGTACAGGAGAAATCCAAGGTGGAGGCCCAAGGAGCTCATCTCACTCAGTCCCAGAACCGGGACTCAGGAGACCCCACTGTCCTAGTCACTATCCTAGTGTCCCAAGTCACTGCCCGTCACCTCATGTTCTTGGAGATACATTCACTCTCCAGGCACAAGAGCACAATTACTTCTTATACCAGCTGATTTCCAATTCCAGCCATTAGCTCTGATGTGATCGTCTCAGAACAACTGAGACAGACTGAAACCATTCGTCATCGTCTCCAATAATCCTCTCTGCCTCTCTGATTATTTTACTGACACAGCATTGAGGCTCAGACCACAGAATTTGCTAAAAACATCCTACTGAAGAATAGCAGGACTTCTCCACTGTTATTTTTAATACAGTACCTATTCAAGTCATTCTGAACTTCAAATAAAATGCTACATATCAGTGTCTTGTTTCTACCAAAGCTGAGGAAATTTGTCAGTAGTGATTTTCTTCACAGCTGCCGGAGTAATCATTCACTCTCCTGTTCAAAACACTCTCACCATGTTGCATCTAAACTCCATGTGGCCTGGAAGGCACTACAGGCTCTGTTACCTGTCCGCTGTTCCCACCATCACCCCTTCCTCTGCTCTAGGGTCATTGGAGCAGCTCTTCCAAGATGCCGTGCTTATTCTTACTAGGGGTCCCCACTGCCTAGAACCCTTTATCCTTCAAGCTTTATAATGCTCATTCCTTCACTTCCTCCAAGTCTTTGTTTAAACATCACTTCCCCAAAATACCCATTCTAAACATCCTGCCTAACACACACACACACACACACACACACACACACACACAAAATCATGTCATTCCCAGTCATGCAATCTGCTTTTATCTTCATAGCACTAAGCACAGTCATATTACCTATCTCTGTACTTCTTTTTTTTTATCTGTCTCCTCTTCTAGAAGTAAGGTCTTAAGAGAGCAAGGCCTAGAACAGTGCCTAACACATGGTAAACACTCAATATTTTTTAAATAAGTAATGAATTAAGAAGAGAATTTGTGCTTCAAGACAAAGAAGTCGTACAAATTTGTCCAAAAGTCATGCTCCTTCCAAATAAAATCAGAAATATGTACAGTGTTCTATGAAATTTGACATTTTCCAAAGTAAAAGACGGAGAACACAACGAAAGCTCACATCCTCTGTTGGGGTGTAGTGAGGAGTCAGCATTAATAAGACCGTGGCAACGATTCCCCCAGGAGACAACCAGCCTATTGGCTTAATCAGAGTTTTTGAACGTTATTCTATTCTACATCCATGTAAATGTATAAAATTGCCACACGGTCCTGTAAATCAGCTTTAGGTAGCAGAACTGTGGCAGCCATGAACAACATCGTTTCTGTGGAAGAGTCTTTTTCTGCTCAGAGGGTTGGAAGTTTATGGCTCACTGAGGATTCTACTCATTATCCTCTGGGTGGTCTGAAATCCTGAATTCACTAGATAACGAGTCAACCCTGATACCATCCTGGGGTTGTCATATCAGCAGGAATGTGTGGAAATCATAAGCAGAAGAATCCTTTCTCTCAAAAGGACCAGAAGTTGAATTTGCCTTGGAAAACATATCGACCTTCTAGACCTTTAATACGTTCTTAGTCCTCTATTTTCTCCATCTACCCTCATAGCAATATGATCAGAGTTGACCTATTAACTAAGGCTGAAATATCAGAGGCACCTGATGACTGCTCTTCTCTCTGCCTTCCAACCTCACCAAAACAATGTCAAATTCCATGTGTCTCTCAGGACAACCCCACCACATATCTCATTATACAACTTGATTTTGCACAAAATACATTGGCCACAACAACCTAAGCACCCACTTTAGGAAACTAAAGAACAAAGCTCTAAACAATCAGAAGAAAGGAAATAATGAAGAATTAGAACAAAAAATCAATGGAATTGAAAACAGTAAAACAATAGAAAAAAACTGATGAATCCAAAAACTGTGTTTTTGAAAAGATCTATAAAATTGATACTTCTATGTGGGCTAAACAAGATAAAGAGAAAGAAGATATATATTACAGCAAATAAAGAGGGGGGTTATCACTACTGATCCCATGCACATTAAAAGGTTAATAAGGAAACACTATGAACAACTCTATACCCACAAGTTTCATAACTTGGATAAAGTGAAACAAAAATACAAACAACCAAAATACATGCAAGGACAAGCAAATAGATGTGCCCGTATCTATTAAAGAAATTGAATTTTATTTTAAATCCTTATAGAAAGAAATATCCAGGGACAGATGGTTCAATTGATTAACACTACCACACATTTTATGAAGGAATAATACCAATTATCAACAATCTCTTCAAAGAAATAAAAGAAGAAAAACTTCCCAAATTATTTCATGAGTCCCACATTACCCTAATATCAAAACAAAGACATTGCAAAGGACCAATATCCCTCATGAACAGAGACAAAAAGTCCTTAACAAAATGTTAGCAAATCAAACCCAGCAACATATAAAAAGGGTAATACATCATGACCAAGAAGGCAAGGCTGATTTGGCATTCCTAAATCAATCGAGGTCACATCTCATTACACACTGAATAAGAAAAAGTATATAATCATATCAATCATTGCAGAAAACCATTTGAAAAAATTAATCAACCATAATAAAAACTTTAAAAGAAAACTAGAGTATAATGACTTAATAAAGGTTATAAATATTTAAAAAAATAAAACCTTATAGCTAATATCATATTTCGTGAAGAGAGACTAACACTTTCCACATAAGATCAGGAATAAGGCAAGGATATCCTCTTCCCCCATTCCCATTCAACATTGTACTGTAAGTCCTAGCTGATTCAATAAGACAAGGAAGAGAAAAATAAAGGTATACAAAATTTAAAGGAAGGAGTAAAACACTCTTTACTCAAAGATAACATGATTTTCTGTGTAGATAGCCCGAAAAATTACCAACAAAATGGGTAGCCAACAAAAAAACTCCTGAATGTGAATACAGCATGGTAGCTGGATATAAGGTCGATATTTTTTTTTTTTAGAGTCAGTTGATTTTCTATATGTCAGCAAAGAAAAATCAGAAAATTAAATTTTAAAATACCATTTACAATTGTACCAAAAAGATAAAACAAAATACTAATGAAAAAAATCAAAGAAAATCTAAGTAAATGGAAAGAGATTTTGTGTTCATGGATTGGAAAATTCAACATAACAAAGAAGACATCTTTTTTTCCCAAATTGATATATCGATTTAATACAACCCCATCAAAATACCAGCAAAATTTTGGTGGTAACAACAAACTGATTCCAACATTTATAGGTTAGTAAAGCGAACACAATACAGGAAAAGAAGAACAAAGTTGAGAGACTCACACTAGCCAATTTCAATATTTACTGTCATGCTACATAGTACTCAAGAGAGCACAGTATTGGTGAAAGAACAGACACGTAGTTCAATGGAATAAAATAGAGAGCTTAGAGATAACCTCATACAGGTAAAGAGAACTGATTCTTGACAAAAGCAAAAAGGCAATATAATATATATAATACAAGGATAGTCTTTTCCATAAATGGTGCTGGAATAATTGGCAGTGCATATTTTTTTAAGACTGAAAGAAAGAAAAAAGAAACTAGACATAGACCTCACATTTTACACATATATTAACTCAAAATATGCCATTGACCTAAATGTAAAATGAAAAGTTATAAAACTTCTAGAAGACATACAATAAAATCTGCATGACCTGCAGTTTAATGATGAGTTTTTAGATACAATTTAACACCAAAAGCAC